ATTGCCTTTTATAATGGAAAACTGACGTGTGAATATTTCTGTCATCAAAGGTTCTTCTTACTATGACAACGTACGTCCCCTATCCTACCCGGATGCTGACGCAGTCCTCATCTGCTTTGACATCAGCAGACCAGAGACATTAGACAACGTGCTTAAGAAGGTGAGTGTAAGATTCCCCCCCCACTGGGTCTGTTTTTACTCCATATATAGAAATAGATTTACATGCAATTGTATCCCCTGCATTATATGGCAGGGGATACAGGGATCAGTATGTTTGTCCTTCCTGATGTTTTTCATGAGCCTTAACAGTTATGTTCATTGGACAGTGAAGTAGTGCTTTTTCATATTTGGGGTTCTTTGAATAAATATCCTCTCTGACCACCAAACTTTCACCCACATCTTAATCAAGAGTTGTCTGTGTACTTTATTCAGCCAATCAAATTAGATTTTCCTGTGTGGGAAATAATGACACTTCAAGTGACTGCTCTGTATGTTTTGGGGTATTTTATCTCCTGGTGACTCCTATTTTACCTGATGTTGTATTTACTAACTAATCACACCAAAGTCACTTGTCCATCATGGTAACATGATTATCTATCCTCTCTTGGTCTTTGTGCGCTCTGTCCAGTGGAGAGGAGAGATTGAGGAGTTCTGCCCTAACACCAAGATGCTGCTGGTAGGCTGTAAGTCAGACCTCAGAACAGACCTCTTCACCAGGTCTCACAGCAGACACACTCCAGTATCATACGACCAGGTGGGTGAATATCTTCCACACTTACACACAATAGACACATGACACAGCTCTACTTAGCATGTGTTTAACCTATTACACTCCAAAAAGTCAACAAGGTGGTTTGTTCACTTATTTTTTATATTCAGTTAACTTAAAATGCATATATTTGTGAGGTTAGCATGTTTTTTTTCTAATTAAGTCAAGTAATTTCTTTCATTAACTGTATGAAATATAAGCTGTCATAAAACCCTAAAGATGACGACTAAACTACATATCCACATGGGGCATTCAAAAAACAGCCCTGCTTTAAAAGTGAGTGTTTGGGAGAGTTTAGGAGGGTGGAAGTGGAAGTGGACTTCAAATAGCTGTGTTATGAATGTAATAAGCATGATTTAGTGAAGTGAGGATGAAGGTTGAGATCATGGGGGCATGGAGTAGCAGAAAGTGGCTTTCAAAAGAAAGAAGAAAGAAGCTAGTGATGATCAAGGGATGACGAATCATGCAGAGAAGTACAACAAGATGCTTTATTAAAAGTTAATAGTATGGATGGTAAAAATGTTAAAGTCCATGGCTCAGCTGCTAGACAAATGGGGGTTATATCTGCAGTACCACTGTCTGTCTTAATGGAAGGTATTCAAACAGATCTAAAAGGAGGGAAAATACTTGATGCAAGACGCATTTCTTCGAAAACAAATAGAGAACGAACAGAAACATTCATTGAATTTGATCACGATCTTCCAAGGAAAGTTATGCTTTGTTGTGGAGGTAAAAATGCAAACCTGTTTTGTCCGACAATGTTAATAAAAGAAGGGATGTTTTGTTGGATTTATATGTGAATCAAGCAGCTTACAACTGTTGGACTCTACTGCTCTATAATGTAGCAAACTTTAAGTATGGTTCATTATATTTAGGGTTGCAACTAAACGCTGTTGCTGCACTGGTGAATAAAAGAATAGACAGAAATATGTTAGGTGTACGAAATTAATTTGTGTGGAATCTGTTGACAAACTAGAATCATGTCAAACTAATAGATATAAATAAACTGGATGAAAACCACATTTTTTGAATAAATGAACTTAATTATATTAGTTAGCTTCTATTGATTAGATATACGTTAAAGAATCAAATGTAAAACATGTAACCTGTTATAATCTTTAAGTCCATGGCGTAATTTAGGCATGCTTAAACATGGATTGTTGATCCAAAGTATTTTTTTGATTTGGCCCAATTCACAATCATTGTGTTGCTCTTAAGTTCAATAAGTTACATTTATTTTTGGAGTGTGTAGGAATATTTCCATCACACAATCAATAAAACATCGGTGTGTTTTGTTGATGTTGTCAAGATCCCTCTGTTTACTGCCAGAATATTGGGAATATAATGTAGGCCAGGACAACATCATCACTGACTGAGCTACGTGATAAAATGCAGGAGTGAAGGAACAACAGACAATGAAAGTTACAGGCATGACACTTTCGGGACAGATGTCCACTGCATTACACAGTGCAGGGACATCACGATAACAGATACAAGTCAAGTAGTCTGTCTCAAGTAGGTGGGGTTTTGGCCCAGAATTACTTGCAACTCAGATATAAGCAGAATCATGCAGTAGTATATGAAACTGGCATGAAAAGGTAGTCTGAAAAGGGGAGTAACAGTCACATTTGAAAAGATAACATAACCTGTAAATTCGTTAGCTCATCAATTGTGTTGAGTCATTGTGTCCATGGACAAATCCAGGGGTCCCTGTCTATATTCAAGTCATTGAGAGCTTGAACAGTTCCTCTGCCTGACTTCAGATAGAACAAAACCTCCACCATCCATTTGTTTACTATTTGTGTTGGCTGATATCCTCAGTATAAAGACTTTACTAAGTTTTAGGAATGTGGAGCATTATTTCAACACACTCTTAATCCTTTTGGTGTTTCCTGTCCCAGGGCTCCAACACAGCCAAGCAGCTGAGCACCCCCTACCTGGAGTGTTCCTCACTGCAGTCTGACAACAGCGTCAAGGACATCTTCCATGTGGCAACCCTGGCGTGTGTCAACAAGAACAACAAGAACACCAAGAGGAGGAAGTCCTCCAGAGCCACTAAGAGGATGTCTCACAGCGGAGGAGACATTTCCCCTGTAGCATCAACACATTATCAGCAGACCAAAGCTAAGAGCTGTGCTGTTATGTAAACACAAATACTGATACAGACACTGCCATGGACAGAGCATGTGGAGGGTCAGTCCTACAGTCTCTGTGGTTCAAGATGTCATTTGAACATTAAGTGGAGACAACACTAAGTGTCTTACAAATGTGTGTCCACTAAAACATCCTCAGCGTTCCTCGTCACAGTGAAGGATGAACAGTACTCTTCCAAGATTCTTCCAAGTACTCCCGTCCAAGTATTCCTTCATTAAAAGATTGGTCTGACATGTCTGCTGTAGGTTTTCAGCATATTCAGATTGACATTATTTTGATACTTGTCCAACCATTCAATGAGCTCTCGAGTCCTGTAGCTGAGGACAGTTTCTAGTTTCTCCTCTAGTGACATTGATCCAAATCCTAATCAACCAGGCTCAACAACATGTGCATACATTAGTTCATGAGGAGGTTCACCTGAATGTGTATAGGAGTGTCACACTCTCTATGCTCCTCCAACTATTTACACCAGATAAGTGTTGCCATTATCAGAATTTTGCCCACACTATTATGTGACCTAGGTGTACTCAGCAGATATAAAGACAGTTTTCCCAGATCTAGATCCAGATGATCGCAACACCGGTTAGAGGTGAAGTGGCACTTATTTGGGATCTTCGAATCTTTCGTTCTTGGAAAAGTAGGTGATCAGGAGATGGTCCCCTGGTAAACCCAAACTATCAAAAGCCACCATTTTACTACCTGATACGAAAATGTGAAGTTTCATGAAGAAATACCAAATGATTTTGATGATTCTGCACTGGAAACTAAAGGATTACAGACTGAAAGACCAACCAGGGGGGCAATGAATACTTTGGATATCTGTGACTGTTTTGTTGGCACTCGTTCTTACCTTTTTGTTGTGGTGTATAACCTGTTCAGCCTGCTCCAGGATAATTACTGGAGTGGAAACCACATGAGCAAGCAGTGAGTTATGGTGATTCCACACAGCATCACATAAAGGAACAGCAGAGTGTACTGTCAGCCATGAGGATACAAATACTACTTCTTCTGAAATCAGCTTTATTATATGAAGCTTGACATGGTATCTTCTCTTGTTATTTTTGTACCTTTGTAATATTGGTCGAGAGCCAAACGACAAATGCTAGGAGGATTCCTCTGAGTTTTGAGAGCCAGGAAGGTGAGGCAGAATGTTGAGAGGATACTTTCTTTGATGTTATCAAAGTCTTGCATGTGATGTATGATATGTAATATTCCTTGTGACCAATCTTTGTTCAAAATGTTTTGTTATGCAAGATACGTTTAGTTTATTAAACATTTTTTCATGATTTTGCTCAATGAAATATATCCTGACAACAACTGAAGTAACAATCGACCCTGCATTAACACTGTAGTCAAATGAAATGATTCCATAACCTTCCCTGCAAAACCTCAATGCCCTCAGACTTACTGTATTGCCACACCCATGCCAATTCAGCACCTTCAGCTTTCATTTTATATTTGATTCCCAATCAGGCAATGCTCCAATATTGTTACTGTGACATTTTGTGATCACATCATCGTGACGTAATTTATACCATATGATGAATGATTGGTTAATCTTAAATCGTGTCGATAATCTGAATGCATTTCTACAGTATATGACATAATTTATTGACTAAATAGTGACATCACCATGATGTCATTTCTACCATATGATCATAAATGATTTTTGCTGAAGTTCTGGTCTACAGTCCTGTAAAATTCATAACCATGATCACTTAGACTATATACAGAGCTATGTTTATTTAACTTAACACTGTAACATACAGGTACTAAATGACTCATTAAAAAAACATTTCTGTGATTGATTCAGAACTTTTAATAAGCACAGTGAAGAAGAGAAAAGCATAGTGACAATTTTAAACCTGTTATCAGAAATTCAGACAGAAAACAGGTCTGTGAAAACAACACCAAGTTAGATGAAGGCTGAGTTACAACAGCGCTGTATTAGAACAGAATAGTGCAAGGGCTGCACTTTTTTCCCACTTAAGCATGGTAATACATTAGAGGACAAGCAGCCCTCTGTAAGCAGTCTTCTGAGACCAGACTTGATTAACTGCAAAAGAGTCATTCCTCTTCAAACCTTGTATTTGTGAGCAAACAAACAATTTTAGAATGAAATATGTGATAACACATTTTACATAATTTTAAAAGTAGACATCAGTCATTACTCTCCTTATTTACTGTGTCAGGACAGAACTGTGGGACTATGAGGAACATGTAATAGGTCACAGTCAAGTGCTGATGGCCACTGTTACTCTTTTTTTAACTCAGAGAGATTAAATCACTGCATATTTTCATTTGACTCTCAGATTAAACAACATTTTACAAAATTATTTTCTTCCGTTTGGGCATTAATCATAATAATGTCTGTTTCTAACAATCATTGGGAGACTGTTTTTACATTTTGTAGCTTTCTCTAGGTTTGGCCCCTGGCTGGTTAAATATTAGTCATCTCTCTTCCCAGCATCTTCACAGAAAAAAGCCTGCAGAGCCTTCCCTTCGGATAGATACTTGATGCTCTGTATCTCACCACCACAGTTACTGGCCCTCTGGAAGTGGATCTCTAGACTGTCTTGAATGTCCCCCTCGTCCATTATGTTTTTGATGTCATCCACGAGGATTGTTCGTTTCGGAGAGCCACAGAAGGTCTGTCAGGAAGCACAAACACCAGCTTTGTCATCACTTTTTGATCCACAGCTTCCTCAGAGTTTTGTTGAGTATTATTACTGATGTCATGTCAAGCTGACAAAAGCTGACTGATGTTTGATCAATGATCACATTCCGCTGACTTTGAAAGTAGTGGAGTGTGAACTTGGCTTAAAGCACACAGAGCAGGTTAATTTATTATCTGTTCAAATCCACTTTTGGTAGTTTAATAGTGGAAAAATATGTGACAGGTACATAGTAGAGAGGGCCTGCTCCATATTTAAATATGAAGTAGTTATATATAAAGGGCCCATTCTAGGGTAAAGAACATTTAAAAAAATGAAATGAAACACACTAGCATCTGAGCAGAAAACCACCAGAAAATTCTTCTCTGCAGGAGGAATGCAGGTGACAGTAACAAGGCTCAGTGCTGTTTCTTACCTGAAACTTATGCAGCTGGTGTTGGTATACAGGTTCAACCTCCATATCAATTTCAGAATCCAGGTCCACTGGGTAGTTCCCTCTTAGGGCCAGGACCTCAGCAACTGTGCACACACACACACACACACACACAAATACACACAAACACAAAGGTTTGAGCAGCTAGCCTTAATGGGACTTTGTATTGACTTCTATTCATTGTTGACTAATCACAACCTAATCCCAAACCTTAAATAAATCACAATTAACATTTTACCCCTAGTCCCAGTGAGGTCCTAATTCACAGAGAGAGAGATAACAAAAATGAGTACACACACACACCACTCTGATGCTCAGCAGGGTTTGATTCTGATAAAAGCATGGAATGTTTGTATCGGTAGGGATGGGGAGGCTGTGGCTCCGGGTGTAGAGTGGGTCGTTCTCTAACCAGAGGGACAGCAGTCAAATCCCAGACTTTCCCATTCCAGTTGACCACGAGCCGACAGCACATCCGGTCCTTCGCTAAAGTTATCCCCCGGAATTTGAGACCCGTACCCGTACTTTGGATAGGGGAGATGATATTTTTGACACACACTCTAAGTGGGCCAGCTAACCAATCAGAGCAAACTAGCCTTTTTGAAAGGCAGGCCAAAAGCTAAAACGTAGCGTTTCAAACAGAGGGTGAAAAGAGGCCTTCAGGAGTGAATGCTGTGAGCAAGACATCCACTCTATCTCCAGTTCCACCCTTAGTTGCACTGCAGGTGTCTATTGTCTTAGAAAGGTTGGATAAGAGAGCTGTACCTCCAGGGTGGAGAAAGGTGATGAGTCCTGTCCCGGTGTTCTTATCGTACTCCACTCCCTCCACCTCTCCTCCTCCTCTGCTGGGCCTGGAGAAACTTATCTCCAGTCGGTCCTTCATTCTCTCCTCTGGCATGGAAGAGGGGATGTTTAAAACCTTGAGCGCCTTTCTAGAGACATCGAGGTGGACCTACATTGATGACAGCACACACAGTACAGGGGAGTTAGCACAAGTACTCGCAGTACATTGTTAACAAACCATATTTACAGTATGCTATTAAAAAAAAGTTAAATAGTTATTTAAAAGGTCAGAATCCCTTTCTAAAATATACCTTTCTAAAAATAGTATATGATCACTTAAACATTATACCGACAGAATGGATACACTACAATATGCAATAACACTGAAATAGATGATCAAAGACATACAGGGACATACATTACCACTGCTTTAAGTATTGCTGTGATGCCAATGACATGTTTTTGCTCTCGTTCAAGCAGCAGATGTTTGTGTTGTGCAATATCACCATACTCCCTTTAAAATCGTGCACTTATAAGAGTTGTTGAGTCAAGAGAAACATTATTAATCTGAGAACCGTTGTCTATCTGATCAATTCTTAATTATTTGAGCCTTCTTGTAAATTGGGCAAACTTTGTACATAACTTTATTTCTTTCTTTGTGTAAAAAATGCTTCTCTGCATTTGTCCCAGTGTAATGGTTCAATAATGTAGCAAGGGTTAAACGCAATGCATTTCTTTGCTAACGGTGTCATGTGCTTTACAGCACAGTTTAGCCATTCACTCATTCACATACACATTCATACAGTGCATCTATGTGCAACACTATTCACACATTAATCACACACTGACAGCTCAGCTGTCACGGACAATTTGTGGTTCAGTATCTTGCTCAAGGACACTTCCACAAACTGAATGGGGGAGACTGGGATGGAACCGGCGACTCTATGGGACAATCAGGTCTGGACGATAAAATGACAGATCTTATGATTATGAAAATAGCGCCACGCCAACAAATTATGTGGCTGGAATGAAGTTACACCCATTTCAGGTTAGGTTGACGCACACAGCACAGAGTGTAGGAGGAGCAGCTCACCTGCTAATGTTTGGGTTCCTGCACAGAAGTGGACGACACTGCATGGATGCAGTGACTGAACATAATCATGTTTTCAGCTATGTGCATTGTTTAAGTGGTTTTCCACGGCTGAATAATTAGAACCACAGCTGCTTCAGGACCAGGACAGACGCTCATTTAAGGTTCGGTCCTCCTGTATGTGTTTTACTCTCTGTTGGAGTCTGCTTCCTCCTCACTCCCCCTCTGACTTGCACTCAGTTTACACTTCAAGAACAAACATCACTGATCACAAGATATTAAAACATGTACAGGACTGATGTTTACTTTGTGTTCGTTTGATTCCATCTAGAGTTTACGAGACATATGTTTAAACCTGCTACACAACACGAGGCGTAATGTGACGCGCACAGACATGACATCAGGTTTAGAGTTACCAGAACCATCTGAACTCATGATCCGACATCATCGATTAATAACTATTTTAGAATATAGGACTAGATGGTGAATATCCCATGTGATTATCAGTTCATTTTTGAAGAGGGACAATGACGAGCAGACACAAACTCACAAACAAAGTTAGACAGACACAGAGTGTGTGTGTGTGTGCGTGTGTGTGAGCACTACTTATAACAGTAAGTAAGTACTAAATAAAAACATCGCTCTATCAGAATGTACCTCAAACTTTACAGCAGGATCCATGGTTATTCTTTTTGGTTTCACATCCAAACTCATGTCCTCACAGGACACAGAGCACTTGGCAATCTTCAGGATCTGAGAGGCCACTGGAGGAGAGAAAACATGATCACAGTAAGTGATGTATATGTATGTGATATATGGTGTGGTTCAAGTCTGGCTTTGGTACCACTATTGTATATTTTCAGCATTGCCAAATGACACTAAGTCTCATCCCAAATGTGATCACTGGCCAAGTTTGTCTGTTCCTTCGAAGGCATTTTTATGCTTTGATACATGTTCACAGCAGCAGCACCCCCTCCTGGCTGAATTACCACACTGAACAACAAAGGAGGGGGCCACACAGTTGTGTCTGCCACTGACAGTGGATTCCAGCTGGGAAATGAACATCTTAAGGAACATGAAGTTTATTTACAGGTAATTTGATTTACTACTGTGGAAAAAAGTTAAAAAATTATTTAAAAGGTCAGAATCCCTCTCTAAAATTAAATTTTCTAAAAATAGTAAATGATCAATTAAACATTACACACACACACCATATTTGTCACTAGCACCAGCACCAGTACCTCGGACCAAATATCTGAACTCCCTTCAGACATAACTCCTGTTCTTATTGTGTGGCTCCTGAATTCATTTCCTATGCCTGCAGGTCGCGGTTTCACAAGGAGGGACTCACATGCCCTTACTAATACTCTACTATATCTTTACATATGAAAAAGCTGTTTGCTGCTATATGGTTTGAAATCTTGAATACATTACCCTAAATTTGTAGTAAAGCCATTATTTTTGTTTTACTAATATTCACACACTGGTGAAAAGCTGAATTACTCTACCTGTTATAGTCTCTCACACTAACAGATCGAGTCATGTGTACCTTTCTCCTCCTCGAAGGTGATAAGTGCCTGTCCGGCCTCTAGAAGCACAGTTGATCTCTGGCTGATGATGAACACTCCTCTGATTGACTGACTGACATCATCACTCTCCTCTTCGCCCTGAGTGCTGAACCTTACCTCTGTGTCGGGAATCTGGACATAGATCTGAACAGCAATACGGCACATGAATATTGTTCGTATTGTTCTTTTTCTATGATATGTCAAAGTATTCTTATATTGTCAAAGCATTTTGTGGTGTACAGTTGTACAGCAGTCGATTTCGAGCTGGTGGGCTATCCTGAGGACTTTCACCTTGAATTTCTGCTTGAGTTTGTTGGACTCTGTCTTCTTATTCACCAGTTCAGCCTGACATCTCTTCAATTTTTCCAGCAAATCCTGTTTGCGTTTAGAAAGCTTCAGGATTTCGTCCTGTGAAAGTGAAAGAATTAAATACAATAGAAATGACTTCCTTGATTCCATCCCTTCTTCCCAGCAGTCTGTTCTGTAAATGTTACACACTTGATAGTAACTCTACCTGTACTGCACTCATGTGTTGAGTGAAGTCCTTCTGACACTCTTCTTGCTTTTTGATCCAAGCATACATCTCTGTCTTGGCTTTCTCCTTGGCTTCATCTTCTTCCAGTTTTTCTATTATGAGCCTGGATTTGACATCATCAGCTCTCTCTGCTTTAATCTTAACAGGCAAAACAGGAACAGAGAGAAGAGCTTGACAATTGAGAAGTTTGTAAGAAGACATGGAGAAAGATGGATGATGATGGAGGATTACTACAATTAGATATCATTTTAATGCTGTGAAAGCAACAGTCTACATTCTTTTCATGTGCTTTACAAATGCCAAAGACTGATATCTAAACCTGGGCAAATGTAATCAAAACTACCTGCTTGGATCCAGGCCATCGGAGGGACCAGAGAAAAATTATAGACCAGGAAGAGTTGCGTAACAATTATATTTAAGCTTTGTCAGACTGGTTGTTATAATGAAAATAATATGTGTGATATTTATAGATATAATGATGTTATTAATGATAGCAGTGCCGGTTAATACAACAATAATAATAATAATAATAATAATAATAAATGGTGTTGTTGTCATATAGTGACAAATCTGAATCCTACAGCTCTGGAGTCAGAGATACATTCCAAATAGTTTCTGTAAAGAAGCAGATGAAAGCATTACAGCTAAGAGTTAAAGGAATCAATGGTTAAGTTGAGCTATGACTCTCTGTCAGTCTGGTTACAGTGCAGAACAGGAAACTAACAAGTTATACATGTTATACTTGTAATGATGTTATCATGACCTGTGTATGCAGATCTATGCCTTATCTCACAGGGCAGCAGAAACAGTTCACAGCCTCCTGGTCCTATGTCACATGATTTGTTCATTATCAATAATAAGGGGGTGAAATGGCGTTTTATACTTGGATCTACCTTCCATGTCTCCAGTTCTATCTTGGCCTCCTCGAACTGATTTTTCAGACCACCGTCCATCTGACGGTGACAAACAATCATGTTAGCAACCGACTGGATTACTGAGTATCCTCAAATACTGGAGCACTTCTTACCTTGTCGTTTATGGGCCAGTTATTGTCCATGTGAGTCATAACCTGACCGACAAGAACGAGACTCCGTTTAAGTTAAATCAAAATCAAATGAAACCGGTTAAATCAATCTTAACCTAACAGAGGACGGTGGTACCTACCTGTTTTATTACGATTTTCTGCTTTGAGTTCCTGTTAAAGAGTCGTCACTCGAGAAAATAGAGAACAAAGCAGCAGTTCCTCGTAGTGACTGAGTGCTGAATCAAAAGCGAAAGTAGCTCCGAGTCAATGCAACACGATAAGACGCCTAGTGGTGTGCAGGACCTTTTACAGTGTATGTGCAGGACATTTTTTCACATACAGTCTATGTGCAGGACATTTCCACATACAGTATATGTGCAGGACATTTTCACATACAGTCTATGTGCAGGACATTTTCACATACAGTCTATGCGCAGGACATTTTCACACACAGTCTATGCGCAGGACCGCAGGCAGAGCTGTGAATCCACTGGAAATGTGACACCATAAAGTTCGATGTATTATTAGAATGGTCCACGATTCTGCCACACTGGTCGAATCACAACGTCATTAAACTAGACTGAAGAATAGTTATTGCAGTTATAGCATCTACTTCATATCAGTTACTCGATAAAAAAAGCACTTAGTTTGAGATCAGATACAAACAATAGAGAAGTAAATAAAAGCACAAAACATGTGAAGTAGGTTCGCATTGAGTCATTTATTCAATTTTCTCTCTTTTGTCCTCAGAGACTTGCGTCCACCCGGCGGAGACAGCCGCCATTCAGGAAGAACGTCATTCAGGAAGAACTTGTTGGGGCTTTGGGGACATTTAGAGACAACTGGACCTCCATAGATTATAAACACACAACAATAAGACTAATCGGACCACTTCTTTTCTTGTAAACACTTACTTTCTTTTTCATCTGTTGTGACAACGCTGTTTGGACAGCAGGGGATTTTCGTTGTAATACCGCAAGTGGCCACAGTGGACATTAAGTGCTGTAGAGCTGACGTGTGACACTTGTTCTATGTCTGAGGCTGAGCTTCGTGAACCCATGGAACATTTAGCTTAGCTGCCCGACATCGTCACCAGAGCAGCGGCACAAAACACACCTCGGGAACATGCTTTGGTTCGAAGGCTCGATTCCTGCCGCCATTAACTCGGCAAAGCAGCGGGGTTTCATTTTCGTCGTCGTCATTACTGGTAACGTATGTGTATGCGTGTGTGTCAATTAGCCGGATTGCTAAGGCTAGCTTGTTTAGGTAACAAGTAATGGGGTGCCAGTCAGCTAGCCATTAGCCGGTTAGCATAGTCGCCCAGCTGTCAAAGAAACAAGCAGTGTCGTCACACCGTGACACCGAAAACAAGGTGTCAAACGCAGCCACACAAACGTGATGCGAGCCTGAGCTGTTGGCTACCGACGGCCCGTAACGTAGTCTGTTGTCTTTAATAACCCTGACAGATTAACTTCACTCCGAAGAGCACAGGCTACGTCGCAGCAGCTACAAACATTTGAGTCACAGTCGATGGTGCCCCTGGAGGAGGGGTGGGCACGGTCGGGGGGTCACACTTGAAGCGAGACGTTATCCAGGGGGGAATGTTTTTAGTTTGGTCTGGGCCATTATTGCATCATAGGCGGCAGCGGCGCTGTTCGTCAGCTGTTCCACCATTACGTGACAGGGTGTTCTAATGAATGGGCAGTGTCAACACTGTCCCTGTTTTCTCAGGCGAAGACGAACAGTCCGCACTGCTGATGTCCAGCTGGGAGGACGACACAGTCTCAGAGGCAGCACTCAACTGCTGTGTGGCCATCAAAGTCGATGCCAAGAGGTATAATGGATTCACTACCTGCACAATGTCTCTACTGAATATTTGTTTGCAGGGGAAGTCACTGTCCTCAAGATGTTTTCAGCACTCACCACTGCTGTCTGGCAGAAGTAAAGCATGATGTTTGTCTCCAGTGTTCTGAATCATCGGTGCCTGAGCAGTCAATTTGTGTGGTCTTTTAAAAAATGCGTCCATGGTATATCAGGAACTCTATTTTCCAATTTTGGTTAAATTACTTCTTTCTTTAGTGGCAGATCCGGAAGTTTGTTACAAAGCCAATATTTTTCAGCAACATACACAATTTTTGTTTCATCCCAGCTTGGGAAATCTTGTCACAGTGACTCCCTGAGACAAATCCAAACCATCTACCATTCACTATAAAATATATGTTGATTTTACTACCCATCACATGCCTTTGACTTGCAGGAAACTGGTGTAAATATTATGTATATGTCCAAAACTTCAATTTAGCTGACCTCTCAATTGACTGATTTCTGCCCATTTTTTAGAAGAATTTCTTAAAGGTCCAGTGTGTAAGATTTTGGTGAAAGAGATCTATTGGCGGAAATTGAATATAAATTAATCCTAGCAATGTTCTCACTTGTGTGATTCATCGAAATTGTACAAATTAATGTTTCTTTACCATAGAATGGCCCCTTTATATTTAAATACTTTATATATTTACATTGGGAAGGGACCCTCTCTACGGAGGCTGCCATGTTTTTTTTTTTACAGTAATCCAGACAGGACAAACTAGAACCTTTTGAGTTTTCATAAAGTTTGAAGGCTACCACAGGTTTTACATGTTTGGAAGGGGAGGGAAAGGTGAGGGGTATTCAGCTGCAAAATGCAACTTCACCACCAAATTCTACACACTGAACCTTTAAGTTCCCTTATATTTATTCTTCTTGAAATTATTTAAATAGTCCGTCATTCTCAGCAAAACAAATCACTTCTACATCTTGCTCACATCCACAACCTATTAACTGCAATCAATCTGATGCGTGTTTGATGTTATTGATTTAAAGAATAGACATGGTAATATGTATACTATATACATATGGCAAAGATTCATCACACAATGTTGTCATTTTTTTCAACAGTGAAGCCTGTATGCAGTTCTCCCAGTTCTGTATCCTTTTGTTGCTCCAAATGATGTCACACCTTGTTAAAGCCCTATGAGACAAATTGTGATTTGTGAATATGGGCTATACAAATTAAATTTGATTGATGGATTGAAATAATTCTCCTTGGGCTGAACTATTATGGAACTTCAACAGAAAATTAGTTAAGAATTTATTGTTTCATCTCTGAGAAAAGGTATTAATGGCATTGCTGTAGTCTCTAGGCCAGTAGAAACTGTTTTTAATAGGGACCAGAACAGTGCTTTTGGCCTTTGATAGACCATTAACCTGGTTGCCAGGTTCCCAGGCTGTAGGATGCAAAAAAAATGCAGCAATTCAGAAACACTTATGTAAAAAGTCAGTATTACAATAGTGGTTGGGGGCTTTTTCCTTAAGCCTTCCCCCTGCGTGAAGATCCAGTCGTGTGCATACCCTCTTGCTTCTTTATTGGAGAGAATGGGATTCCTCTGGAGGTCATTGCTGGGAGTGTGTCCGTCGAAGAACTGATGAAAAGAATCAACAGAGTTAAGCAGGTATGGGCTCAAAGGTGGGATTGTATGCAGGTTACAGGGATCACACTACTGTTTCCCATCCTTTTTATCAAGCACAGACTTGTGTGTTTGTTCCAATGTGCACTGGAAATGTTTAAGTGAAGAAAATCTATCACAGAAACATTTCACATTTGGATACTGACATTTTCATGTTTTACACCATAAATGCAGGAGCCCATTTAGATAGTAAGATATGTTTTACTGTATTGAATACAATTTTTTCTCATTTTGAATGTCACAGCTGCCGTCATGACAGCCAGTAGCTGTCTGGGTTGTCAGTCCCATTCCCAGCTATATCTTAACGCATTGAGGGAACTTCTTCAAATTTGGTATAAATATTCAGATGGACTCAAAGATGAACTAATTTAATTTTGGTGGTCAAAGGTCCAGGTCACTGTGACCTCACAAAGCACTTTTTATGCCTTGTGAATGTGATATCTCTGGAACATTGTGAAGGAATCCTTTTACATTTGGCACAAACATTCACTTGGACTCAAGGATTAACTGATTTGATTTGGTAGCCAAAGGTCAAGGTCTCTGAAGCCGCACAAAGTATGTATTTGTACACACACAAGTGATGACTTGATCTTTTCTGAACATTCCTCTATTGCTTTATTAGTTTTTTGTTCAGTGTCCATTGGCCAGTCTTACATTAACTCATGATATATTGTCCCCATGTGCCTTGTTGCATTTTGCTACATTACACTGTATTAATTTCTGAGGACTTGGACAAGATCCTTCAAAATCTGAGCTACTGAGTATGTATGATATTCTTTCTGGTAATGATTTTCCTCCCTGTAATCTAACAGATGCATACTCAGCAGATTGGAGGTGCCGCAGTGTTTCCAGAGGCAAGTACTCCTGTGGAGACCAGCTCACATAAAAACACAGAATCAGCTGTAGCCTCAGCTCCTGCAAAGCCTGTCAGGTCAGAAGCAGAAGCCACAGATCTTGCAGCAGTATCTGGAAGTGCAAAAGGTGAGTGAGCCTGGATCACTCAGATCCTGTCCAGAATTTGTGTTAACATTTGCATTGAGCAGGAGTGTGCTGTCAGGACAAGGAAGTTAAACAGTGCTGGACCCATTAATCTAAAAATAGACCTAAATAAAACAATTGGAAGTGGAATCTCTCCTTTAATCTAATCACAGAACAGTGCTAATAACAGACGTGATGTTGCCTTTTTGTAGTATTTTTTTATTTACTGTATACTCTTGTGGCGACAGCAAGTTATTGTCTCTGGAAGCAGGCCTGACATCCAGACACTGCATCTGCAGTGAGAATTATTACCAAATATCAGGCCTTTTACCCATAGTAAAGCCCCCTCAGTTCATCACAACCAGATATGTCACATTTGTTACACTCTGGACCAGATTAAAGTACTTCTGTGTGTACATTAAGAGTTGTGCGAATACAACTACTAGTAGTTCAGTGGACATTTTTTAATCTAACTTCTAATGTAAGAGAAATTAGTTGTGCATTTATATCAAATTCATAAAAAAATCCAATAAAGTGTAATGTTGGCATTACAGAAAGAAGAAAGTAATTATTCACAACCACATCCACAATGTGACATAACAAATACCACTAATATCAGTTTTTAGATAATCTGCAGTCATTCAAAACCAGAAAAGACGTTTCAGCTCACTGTGATGATAATGTGTATGAAATGCATTCACCCTGCCAGAAGGGGTGTGAATCATCATTGTTCACTTGACCTGACTTGATTGCTCACTGTCTATGACGTTGTTGTCTTCACAGATTAGAGTTTAGGAAAACATGCAATGACATTATTGAATATCGCGATGAGGATATGATTGCAACTTATTAAGAAGAGTCTCGATCATGATGTGATGATCAGTGTTGATATTTCAAACGAATCAACATTTAAACTGTAGTGAGTCAGAGACATCAGCTGACTCTGAAACAGACCCAGAGAGCAAGCTGTGTAGTCTGTGTGTGTCACTAGAATTTTCCACAGTAGATTTAAATCAGAGAAGGTGGAGCGAGATTTTGACTGGCTCATAATTCTCTGTTCTCTCTTATTATTCTCTTCTTCTGACAATGATGAATTGATAGAAAAACCTGTCAACGATTTATTTTCTAGGAGCAGGGCTCCATCGGACTGGCCAAAGATATTGTCATGCAGAGCGTAAATACACGGCACAGGGAACACCATTTATCGCAGTTTAAGCCATCTTTTGCGATACGTACAGTAAATCACGTTTATATTGTGATGATGACGACAACCTTTTGATATATCATGCAGCCCTATCACAGATGAATCCCGGTTTACACTGTATCAGGCAGAAGGCCGTGACAGTGGGCGAGTGGTTTGGCATGATCTACGGACAACAAACAGTTTTTAAGCTATGACAATTTGAATGCAGACACCATCCTCGGGTCCATTGTCATGCCATTCATCCCCTGCCATCGCCTAATGTTGCAGCATGATAATACACAACCCCATGTTGCAAGGATCTGTACACAATTCCTGGAAGCTGAAAACATCTGAGTTCTTGCATGGCTTGCAAAAATGTTACCTATTGAGCATGTTTGGGATGCTATGGATAGACATTTATGACATTACTGGTTCCGATCTTTGCCAGTGTCCAGAAACTTTGCATAGCCATTGATGAGGGGTCGACCAAATTTCCACAGGTCACAATCAATAACCTGATCAACTCTATGCAAGGAGATATGTCGCACTGCGTGAGGCAAATAGTGGTCATACTGGTTTGCTATAAAACCCTATGCGACTGAAAAATGTCTTTCTTCAAGATAAACTGCACATTTAAAAAAAAAAATCTTATATCTGTCTGAAATCTTACATCTTTTACATCCATTCATGAAAAATGAGAACGAAAACATTAGTGTTTGTAGGAATTCAAGGGTGGATATGGATAGTCTTTGTTTGCTTTGTGCTGACAAGATGTGGAATTGCCAGTTAACCCAGTGCTTTAAATTTTTGTTTCTGTTGTGTTTAGCATCTCTATCAAGCCCAGAAGATGCCCAAGTGACTCTTGCAGAGAATGCATCTTCAGATGATGCTACTCACTGTGCTCAGAATGAGGAAAACCTGGACGCTAAGGTGCAAAGGTAGAGGCTCAAATATATGTTCTAGATGGAAAATGTGTTCTGTATTGAGGTGTTGGCACTGTAGTCATCATCTTTTTAGGTAAAAATGTTAAACATAGTTTATGGCACAAAAACGATTAGACTATAATTGAGTATAAAAGCATTACAAAGCATTAGAAAGACTTCACAATAATCTTCAATAAGCTTTAACTACAGTGAAAGACCAGAGTTGACTCACAATCTCTGCAGCAAAGCAAACTGAACGCGCCTCCCACCGTCTCCTCCGGCTCTCCATATATTCTCTTAGTTTACACATGTGTCTGATCACTCCATGTGTGTGTTTGTAAGAGAGAGAAAAAGAGTGAGTGGGACAGCTGATGAATGAGCGCGCTGCTGTGATTTAACTCATTAACAAAAGTATCAATCATTATGTGATTTTCTGTGTCGATATTGTGGCATCACTTCAAACAAATCGACATTAAAGCTGTAGCGAGTCAGAGACGTCAGCTGAGTCTAAGAGAGAGAGAGAAGCAGAATCTGTGTGTGTGCGTTGTTACTTTTCCCTCAGTTCTGGGACCATCATAAGCTACACAATTCTTTTACATAATCAACTGCTCATAGTGATGAATTTGACCCAGGACAAACGTGATCACTAAGAGTTTCCACAGTAGTCAAGAGGAGGCGGCACTTGACAGAGCTGCCTCACAATACTCTTTCTCTCTCTATTCTCTTCTGACAATGATTCATTTACTGGAAAAACCCAGCAATGATCTGAATATCTAATCTAAACTATCTAGGGCAACAGGGCTTTATCTAATTTGCCAAATACATTGACATGCAGAGTGTGAATACATGGGACATGGAACACAATTTATTGCAGTTGTTTTTTTTATGTCATATCATGCATTTTGATATCGCTATAACAATACATTTTAGATATATCGTGCAGCCCTAGTTTATAGTCCAGTCCAGTCCAGTGCAACTGCTCTGCTGGTAAAAAAATACAGATTAATAAAAAAAAAGTGAAAGAAGAGCCATGCACTTGCTGTAGTCACATTGTCAAGAAAAAAAGTATTTGTTTTATCATACATTGTTCTGTTCTGTTAGGTTAAACAAAAAGCTGGAGGAGAGACAAGAGCAAAGGAAGAAAGGAGAAGAAGAGGTAAGGAGACTGTTGAGGAATTTTTGACCATTCCTCACACATTACATCTGTACACCATTATGAGAATAGTGCCTGTCTCATTCCACAGATACTCCCATCTCTCTCCAAGCAGTACCAAAGGTTATAGATAAAGGACCAGAATAGTGCATGTTCACTGAATTCTTGTGGTGCATGTCATGCATAGATTCTTCTACAGCAGTTCATCATGAATATGCTTTTAAGCAATCCTGTCTGCTTTAATCATAGAATCACTGATAGGTGAAATATAAAGCAGTGTGTCAATGTTATTGATGTCACTTTGGTGGAGGATGATCTTCAGCTCTTCAGGCACTAGGGCTGTCACTTTTTATTCGAAATTCAAACATTCATTCTACTGTGGGGGGGAAAGTTTGTATTTAATGACCCGTTAGAATTCAGAATATACAGTCCAGATACGCATCAGACTGTCTGTAGAAGTTTGTCTCTGGATCCAGCAGAGGGCTATCACTGTCAGCTTGACCTGTTGCAGCCCTCTCGACCTACCATTAAAGTTAGCCAGTAATTTAACGTTGTTTTGCCATGAAAATGGAGGGTGCTAGCAAGTAAAGCCATCCTGAGCAGACAATCATGACACCAGAGCATCTGAGAAGTGGAAGTATTTTGGGTTTTACACTGTAGATGGCAAAGTAACAATCAAAGGTGAGGCTGGCTTAAAACAAATCTGTAGGCTCACCTGTTAGCAGCAGCTGAAGAGGCACCACAGACGAGGGGTGCACCGTCAAGTGTTCAACTTTCTCTGACTGTAGAATTTAGCAAGCAAGTCAGAGAAAAGTTGGCTTCTAGCAGGTGTCAGGCAGTGCATGTGCATTTGTTTCGAAGGTGTAGCTTTTCCAGGATTGCCAATACCAGCTTTAATGTGTTTCACTGCAACAACCAAGTAACATTAAGCTGCTGGTTAAAGAGTGAAGTAAAACCTTTTTAATTGCACAAAACATACATAACATCCTTTCCTCTGTCACAGTAAAACAGGGTTTAGAATAGCGTGGCGCACACTATCAGGAGAATTACACACAGCAGCTGTAATTCTGTAATTGCACTTTTCTTACTTGACACTGCAAATGCGATATGTCTCGTGTTTGATCAATTTTACAAAAGCAGCTCTTAAACAGACATTGTGGTTTATGTTTGGGTACAAACAGGAGGCTGAGTGAACACTGAGGTGATTGGTAACTTTCACTATATGTCAGACTGTCTTATGTAGTAAAACATGCTGACTTGCCGGAGCAGGTTTGGCAGGAAACAGTTTATACAAGCACAGACACAACATTATATGAGCAGCACTGACCATTTAAGCTTTCTTTTATTTGTACCTTATTTTAGGGGCTCTTGAGTTTTCAGTAGTTTGAACTATTGTGCACCATTAATGTGGCCTAATTCAACTTGTGTGTTTCATGATTCAGAATGAGATCAGAAAGGAAATGCAGCGGCGGAAGATTGGGAAAGACATGCAGGACGTAAAAAGGAAACAAGAAGACGACAAGACTAAGCGACTCCTGGAGGAGAGGAATCGGGAGAAGGCCGAGGAGAAGGCTGCCAGGGAGCGGGTCAAACTTCAAATCGCCATGGTAACGTCATCTTCTCTCGTAAAAAAACGCTATCTGGCTGCTAAATTATCTATAAATAAGTACATTCAGAATGGTTGATAATGTTGGGTGGTGCTGATGATGCCTTCAACCAATTAAGTGGTCACGATTACAATATTAGAGAATCCTGAACATGGCTTGTTTATCAACTGCGGAGACAGTTTTTAATTGTCATTTAATGTAATTATAATGTATTCTAAATAATTTTTGGTAAGATGCCCCCATGGTAAGAAATTTTCTCTTGTTTTCGTTTGCTATTTTTTACTTGAGTTGATATTTACCTGTTGGCATGGAATTCTAGACTGATTTGGGACTGGTTTTGTATCAGTCAGAGCTTTGGAGATCCTTTTTATTGAGCGTGTACCTTTTATTGAGCTATCATAGTTTTTAAGCAAGTGTTGTCACAAATATATTTAAGTGTCAGCTCTATAACTGGAATGATACAAAAGCCTGAATCCATGTAAGATTACCAGATTTAACTTGATCTGTTGCACCTGTCTCACAGTCTGTCTTCTCTGTCCCGCAGGACCGAGCTGACAGAGCGGCTCGCTATGCCAAAACACAGGAAGAGGAGAAAGCTGTTAAGGAGGCTCTGCTGCAGGTCCGACAGGCAGAGCAGGAGGCCAGGAAGGAGACACTGGTCAGGCAGAGGAGGTAAAAAGTCCAGAGACCAAGGAATGATGTGTGTGTGTGTGTGTCCAGGCAATCTGTTTTTGGGGGTGGCGGTGAGTTATGCACGTCACTGAATGACGGCTGACTGAGAGGAGAAGGGATTTAAAGTTTGACAGCAGCTGCATGATTTTCTGGAAGAGACTGGCATGCCCACAATCATCTGATAAATAAGCATAGACACAGAGACAATGAGAGATTTGACATTGATTGAATCGGAGTAAAGTCTTCCTGACTGAACTTGTGCTTCATTTGAGTTAATATGGAAGTATTTGAAATATCACCCACCATGTTAGCAGGGGGGTTGGTATAATATGTATTATAATGGGATCGTTGATTATATAATGTGTGGTTTTGTCTTTTGCCACTCACGTGGATCTGGCCTATCACGTTGTGAGGCATGAGGCTGGAAAATGTGAAGCGGGTAGCAGGTCCTTCGTGTTTCACCTCAAAAGTGAAGTGATAATCAGAGGATCAAGGATCCAACACATTATATCAAACAATGCGTCAATTGCATTCATTACTTTTTTATCTTATACTTTTGTTAGATGCAGGGTTTGTGAATTTTATTCCCTGAATTTAACTTCCTTGTGTTGTGTTTGTAGTACCATAGCAAGGATACAGTTCCGGCTCCCAGACGGCTCGTCTTTCACCAACCAGTTTCCCTCGCAGAGCACACTGCAGGAGGCTCGACAATTTGCAGTTCAGGTCTGTCACACCCATCTGTTTCTAATAAGTCGTCACTCTCCTTTTTGTTTGTTTTCACTGTCTTCATTCACCAGAACCATGAAAGAGGTTAGATTTTAAACACAAAACTAGGGACATGTAATTATAATATCATATCATCCCTGAGATTCCCATAAACTCTATGGCCAGTTTTAGGTAGAACTTGCCCATACTACAGATGCCAGGTTAGTAACTGCAGTCATCACATTCAGCAGTGTTGTTTGGCTGGATGTATGGGGAGACGCATGGTTTCTACCATTAGGACGATGATTTCCTCCATAAGAAATATTTTGCCACAGAGCTGGGCTATAATATGACTAAGCAAAAATAGTGTCTCAAAGAATTGTTTATAAATGTCTTATGTAATATTATGAGCACAATTACAATATCAGGAATTAGGCTAGGCCCCAAAGTTAGAAATAAGGCGCCCTACAAAGGTATGTGTACAAAGGTTATGTGGCTGTATGTTGGTGGTGTGGGAGCAGGGGGTGCTCTCATTGACACATGAAAAATAAACTGTCCAATCACCTATCAGCTTTTAACAATAGACAGGTGCTGCAGAATCTTTTGAGTTCAACTTCCAAATGATTCCACATCATTCAGCATCATTTCTGATTAGTGGAATAGTAGTGTAATGTCTGGGCCAAACTGGTTGTACGTGCAGTGCGTGACGGCTACAACGTTGTTCTGCTGCACCTCCCGGATATCTGTTGTTCACACAGGGTGTGTCTGCTACGTGCCTGCGTATAAAAGTAGGCCTTTGTACTCAAATGACTAAATACCAGGACTCTAGTTTGAAGTCATGCATCTTCAGGTCCTGCAAATACTTCACAATAAAAACCTTGTTAATTAAATGAATGGATTCAATCAACAAAAATGTGTGTTTTTTTAAAATTATGTTTAAGACAAATTCAAAGGATATTTAAACTGTTCATTTTCACTGTCTATTTTGCTGTGAACCACGTGCAGTGTTGAATTTCACGCAGGCAGTGTGGCCACTCTAACCTGATAACATGGCTGAAATGAAAAGCAAGATGTGTCTTATCACTTTTAATGTTTTTGTGCCGATCATGTCTCAGGAAGTGGGAAACCGTTACGGCAACTTCTCCCTGGCGACCATGTTCCCTCGGCATGAGTTCACTAGTGAAGACCTGAACAAAACTCTGCTAGAGCTGGAATTGGCTCCAAGTGCTTCCATTGTGCTTCTGCCGGTGAGCAAACCCGAGTCCACCCTCCATGTCAAAACTGCATAATTCAGATTAGCCATTAGATTGCGGATCAGAATAATCAAAGACTAATTCAATAAGTTTAAAAAAGCACCAGGTATTTGTGACTTTTAGAATCTCTAGTCTTGTGTAGTCAGAAAGGAAACATATTGATAGCATTTAAGTCGATGTACCGCCCACTCTTCAGAGCTCTGTTAATCAAGCAACACAATCTTGTGACTGAATTTCACAACTGTTTAGATGAAAAGCACCTAAATCCAGCTAAAAATGAAGCAGTACAGCAAAAACAAATGTGCTTTTGTAGGCAAAATTGTGGAAGTGATTCGATAAGTGTTGCTGCCATGACATAGATAAACACTAATTAATACTTGTATCAGTCTAATTTTGTGAAATAAAAAAAATGATCCGGCAGTTGCCGACCACTAATCAATGGTATGTTGCTCACATTTGCCTCTTACTGTTCAATACAGAGCTGAGTCAGAATGTGGTTAGATTAGCAGAGCATAGGGAAGCATTCCACAACCGTGCTTGTTGAATCAATGTTTTTTTGTATTCTCTCCCACTCAGCATTCAGGCAGGCCTTCTAACACTGTAGTCCAGTCCTCTGGGGGTGGTGTCTGGGCTGTTCTGGGAACACTCCTCTATCCTCTACTGGCTGTTTGGAGATTCCTCAGCACCTACCTGTTTACAACCCCCCCACCTCCTGGACCGGCAGCCCAAGGCCCCACCCAGCAGGCCAGCTCTTATACCAACTCATCATCAGCCTCAGACAAGGCAAAGAGGTAAGAGCTACTGGTCTACCAAAACAACATGCACACTCTAGAGTCCAATAGGCCATGCATCTGCTTCGGAGACTTAACTAAGTTTGGGTTGGATGTGTTTAGAATGTGCTCTGCCTGGAAGCTGTATGAAGCATAATGTACATTATCTCATGGCACTTAATAGAGATGCTGCAGAAACTGCAGCTGTTTGGAATGGACTGTTCACTTGGCCTGTGGTGATGCAGCTTTCTTTCTGAAATGTGACCTGCAGTGATTGAGCTGCAGCAAGTAAAGACCAACTGCTGGACTCAGTCTGCAGAACCCTGACGCTGCGCCATCGCGGCTTCACAAACAGCTGTGACAGAGATTTCTGGAATTATTAGACGGATGAAATGATCTAAATCGTTTTATCCTATGGTTAATAATACTTGTGTAATTTGTTATAATTTTATGACTGATGCTTCATTGATATGCTTTGGAGCTATTTCAGAATTATTCCTCCCCTTTAGTGAGTCCTCCTCTAAACAGTTATTGTTTGCTATGTCTCATGATGGAGATCAGCACCAGCAACACCTGTGAATGTCTGTCAATACGATATGGTGAAATAAAAACAAAACATTTATCTAGATTATCTAGGTGTAATTTTGACCAGCGGTGTTACCCAGTTGCCAGCCACTGCTGTATCTTATCCAAGGACATCTGAGGAAGACATGCACCAAACAGATGCACATTAAAGGCCTGTCCTGTGTCAGAGTCTGCTTCTTCCTCACCCCCCTTCTGACCTGCGCTCACTTTACGTCCTGTTTATCAAGGAACATGATGTAAAGGTTTTACAAAGATCAGTTGTATGTGTGAGTGATTAGAAAACATCAGAGGAGCAGAGTCACTTGTTGACCTGTGCCAGTGTTGTGTTCACACAAAAAACAACTAGTTCAAAGTTCAGCTCGTACAAATGAAAAGGAAATAGTTTACGTTCATTTGTTTTGTTTTCTTATTGGTAAGGTTATGATTTAGGTGACAAACTTACGATCAAGTATTTAGTTATTAATTGATGGTGTCAGATCGTGAATCCATGTCGCTCTGGTCACTTTAAAACTGAGTCCTGACTGTGAGCGTCTCGTGTTGTGCTGAGCAAAAAATATTAATGACTCATGTTTCATGATGTTTAAATGCATCCTCATTAACTCTGAAGTGAATCAAACAAACTGAAATTAAACTTAATGTACTGATCAGGTCCTGAGACTGTGTGTGTGTCACTGTGTCACTGTGTGAGTGAGTGAGTGGGGGCGGGGCGGGGCCCCGGGGCCTGTGTGTTTAAACTCCAACTCGCTCCCAGTCTCAAACTAACTTCAGCAGTAGTAGATGCGTCTGTAGCGCTTACACCAGCCAGGTCTGTAGAGACGTCATGTGGCGTGTGGTAAAATGGTGTCATAAAACGTGGGCTGCGTTCACTCTCACGCTCATCTTATGTAACTGATTCGTTCAGTCCAGCTTTCAGCAAAAATATGAACGGCTTTCATTGAACATGTTCATGCACAACACTGACCTGCGCAGGGTAATGCGCCTCTCATTTATATTGTGATATATATATCGATATCGATTTATATGAAATAAATGATCGTAATAACATTTTTTTTCATATTGCTGAGCACAGTTTCATTTGTGCTGCTTGTGTCAAAATGCTCTGAAATATTTTAACACTTTCTACAATAACATAAAAGATCTCTGTATTGCACTGTTGCTCTATTGTGTGTGCAGCACTCTTTGCCCCACTGCGTGCGTATGCGTGTGTGTGTGTGCTCGTGTGTGTGAGAGAAAAGCACAGAGCTATTAAAAACAATTTGGATGCTTGTCCATAGTATGATAGGATCCCAAAATGCTTTAAGCATTACTATTAAATTATAGATTAGGAGGTAATGGGATAGTCTTTTTCGTTCAGATAAAAAGCAATAAAAGATATGGTTGTTCAGGTTGATCCACTCGGGTTGTGCTGCTGACTCACTTGCTGTGATCGGACCAGTAGCCTGACTATTAAATCAGCTGGGTGACTTTAACTCTTCTGTTCTTCTGTTACTCTTTTTCATCATGCTGCCAGTTTGTGTAACCCTAATCCTTCAGTTCCATCAGAAAATGTTGGGAGATCAGTGTGTTTTAATTGGTGTTTACTGTATGCACATAATGTACATGTGTTAAGTGACACACTGTATGTCATGCCATTTTCTTTTATGTCCACTCAGAGAAACTCACACACTGGAGAAGCGCCCCAAAGACTTCAAGAAAGAGGGTAAAATCTGCAGTCTGAGGACTCAGGAGGACAGTGAGGATGACAACAACACCTGGAACGGGAACTCTACCCAGCAGATGTAAAATGAATGAATTCATTCTGACCAGTTTATGGTTTCTGCTGCAGCTGATCCTTCAGTTTTCTACCCCATTCAGGTTTGGTAATAACATCCATCCTGAGTGATCCGATTGGTCAGCACCTAGTTCAGGTCTGAATGTGCCTAAATGCTTCCTGAATTCAGTGAGATCTGATCACTCAAACCACATGCAGAGGTGGTCTGGGACGCGCTCCTCTCGCTCATAATTTGACCTTAGAAAATACATGATTATTAGCATATAGAGTGGGGAAGAGAGATATCACAAGTGGTAACTGGAGACATTTAATGCCAGGTGTAAAACACACGTACTTAACGCCGTCCACTTGAAATTGGATCTCTCAGGACTGATGTTGATACCAGGTCTGAACAGGGCGTTTGTTTTACTGTGTTCCAAACCTACGCCCTCCTTTGTCTCCTAACTTTGGCTCAGAATGCAGCAGCTTCACAGAGTGCGCTAAGCTACACCAGTATCCTCTTTGGGTTGTTGGTAGATAATTGTCAGATACATCATAACAAAGTTAATTATTGATTACGATTATCAGACACCAAAGTAAATAGAGAATAAACAGCAGACCTGAAGATGGTGTAATCTGAGTTCGGATTCACATTGTTATGGACTCCATGCAATTTAGAAATGTCTAACTTTGAAAAGTGGTTGGCTGATCGTCTGCGACTTATCCCATCTAGCAGCAAAATGAAGACATTTTTGTCTAGGATGTATAAAACATGTCATCAAACAGCTTGCAACTGCTGGCAGAGGACTGTGCATCTACTAAGGTGGTCCGTACAAACACACACACCTTGGCAACATGTGTTTCTACGAGCTGACAATGGGCAACTACTGAAGTTCTCCTCATTCAAATATGAAAATTAAAGCAGTCTGTTTTTCACATTTTTGTGTTTGTTCTTTGTTGACCTGGTCCTCATTCTTCACACGTGGGTGAACCTATTTAGACCTGCAATTAGACATTTGACTTGAATAATTGTGACCACACATCTGACCCCAATAATAAATTCATCATTTATGAAACAGTTGACTTGCTGGCATTCCAGTTTACACATTACACGAGTATATCAAATTATTCATTGTTTCATGAATGACAAATAATTTAGACCAAAAGTCATTCAGTAGCATGAGTTCTGGTGGGAAGTGGTAACCCTCCTGGTCCCAGACCTTGCAGCAAATACACGGGGGGGGGGGGGCTCCATACTGCACATGCTTAGACAATTGCCTTTGTTTTCCTATGAATAATATGTTCTGATGGTACAAGTGAAACTCAGGCTCCTAACACTATTGACAGTATCAGATAAGATAGTATCAGCATCTGAGGGTGAATGAGCTCAATGAACATTTTAAAAGAATCTTCCTCTACGTGTATGAATACATGTGGCATCTATTGCAATTCTGTCCGTCCTGGGAGAGGGATCACTCACATGTGGCTCTCTGAGGTTTCTACGTTCCTTTCACTCACTCTTGTTGAGGGTTAAGAACAGAGGATGTCACAGCTTGTTAAAGCCCTATGAGAAGAATTGTGATTTGTGAATATGGGCTATACAAATAAAAAGTGTGGTTATGTACTAACTGATATCTAGACTGGAGAAGCTGTTTATTACACCTGACAGACAAAAAATGTTAAATGTAATTATCAAAGCCTTAGATGTGAAAGAAAAAGAGAATTATAATTTTACATGAAAAGCGCGAGGAAATTCAGCGTGCGAGCAATGTTAATGGGTAGCTCTCAGTGCAGAAATAAGATAAAAATATTCCTGGATATACCATGTAACTACAATCAATCCCTTCTTTCCACTAGCTAACAGCACATGAGCATTATGAAACAAATTAAACTAACATAAGTGACATACAATCATTTAACAGAGCAATGCTGAGAGATCGCCGTGCTGCAGTGGAAGCTCTCATTCTCCAGTGAATATGGGGTTGGCCACAGTGGTGGTGGCGTTCTGGAACAGTGGGTTGTCAGCCTGGTGACAGAGAAAACCCGATGATTAGTTAATTTCCATTTCCAAGTTCAGCATTTATCGTATCATATTACCACAGACCATCTCGAGAATTGCTAGAACGCTTACTGCGGAGGAATACTGTCATATATTGCCCTGGGACGCCAGTGCCATGGAGTGTGACATTTGAAGGGTTGTGGAGTTCAAGCTACATTTCATTTAAATAATGTCAGGTTAGCAGGCTGTATGTTTGTTTTCCTTTGGGGTGTATGGTCTGATTGATTTCTGACTTAACCTGTATATCTGCTCCATGACTTAGAATTTGTAGTTGACCTTTCAGAGGGCTTTGTAACGTGTAACATTAGAGATGAATGGATATGACGCTTAGTCCTCAGCATTAAAGTTGAACATCACATGTCCCCAGCATCTACTCTGACCCCCGCAGCCTCATTGTGTCAACACAGTACTTCCTGCTGTACAGCACACCACACTGCTGCTGCACTGCAGGGTTGTGTAGCCTTTCTTTCAAACTAAAAGAAGGTGTCCTGACTGCAAAGTAAGTTCACACTAAGTAACAACACCATGAAATCCGTAAGATGGTGATTATTTCAAGTTGTGTTAGCAGTAATAATAAAGTGTCTCACCTTTGCCCACTTTGACATCTTCTTTTCATTTTCAAATTTCCTGAACTCCTTCAGGTCCCTCATGTAGAATATCAACTTGAGGAGCATCAGCAACAAGATTCCAATAAGAGCCACAGATACTATGGAGCCTCCAATAATAGCTATGACGTTGGGTGGTTCTGGACAGTCTGGAGGAAGAGTTATAAATCATGAAGCTATTACACATATCTAAAATGTAAGAAGGAATGTCTGCTGACCTTTCAGACTCTATACTGTACATGCACCTGGATAATAAAACAATTATATCAGCATAAAAATAAATCTTTTTAAGATCAGAAAAATAGAGCTTGAATAGACCTGAAGCTGCAGAAATCTGCAATAGGTCTTAGGGAAATAGCATTTAAATGATTTACATCTGGCAGGGTATTTAAATGGATGAAAATAAATAATAGGCAAATCAAAGGATTACTGTATGGTAAACCCCACTGCTGACTTACTCAGTACATGTTTCCTTGTTAGAAACCAGTTTTGAACCAAGTTGTATTCAGAGTAAAAAGAATTCTAGATTTGTAATCTACTAAAGTCAGAAATTGTAATACTGGTGTTATCAGCAAAAAGATCTCAGGACCCCATCTAACACTTAGGGCCTGGTCTACTGAAGGTTTGCGCGTGTAAAACATATATGGTTATATTGGTCTTAAAATTGAGTGTTCAGGCACCTTTGTGCTGCAGAAAGTGATTGAACTTGCCCAACAAAATCCTTGTCTTGAATTGTGAAGTGAATGGCATGGAAATTCAATGTTATTTTAATGGTGCAAGACAGTGCTTTTCACCATCAGGAATGTGTACAATGTACACTTGTTACACACAGACATTTCTTCCTCTACCTGCTAAATCTTCCATTATAATCGCAATGGGTGCCTTTTAAAGTGAAGTGATATTGCACACTGATTCATGTATTGTATTTTTTGCCCAAAACACATGCATTATTAATTATGTGAGTGCCGTAAGAAACCGTTTTGAACGATGCACCACTGTAACCCTTTTTCTGCCTTGCAAAAGTCAATTTAGACCTGCCAAGGAAAACCACATGTGGTTTACATAATCTGGTGAGGAAGCTGAAATAGGACCCATTGTCTGAAGTCCCAGCTCTGAAGTTGTTATCTGTACTTTTAATTAACAGCTTACCTCTCTTTGTCAGAATTTCTGCCCTGTAGCTGTCCTCTCCAACCAGCTGGTCCAGCTTATATGTGATCCAGCAGCCCCCTGAGTCCTTCTGGTGGCACTGCTTGCTTGTTATTGTGAACTTCTCTACCATCCCATGATTAACGCTCTTGCTGCAAGCCTCACTACAGTTTTTCTTAAAGGGACCAGAATCAAAGCCGAGGCATTCAATGCAGTTCCTGAAAAATGAATAGCAACAGTTTATACTTCAAAGTGAGCCTCAAGATCTCAACATAGGCTAGCAGTAGAGCTTGACTCATTCGTGATATAATACTGGTCTCTGTTTTGTAATTCGGTGAGCTAAACCTTTACTAATATTTCCAAAGTTGAGTTTGGAATCCTTACAGTTTGGTCAGGCATGGGTCAGAGCAGCCAAGGCAGTGCTGGCAGTGTGGCCGCTGGTATCCCTCCTTACACTGACAGCGGTTGCACTTGCAGGATCCTCTACCGAAGCACACGGTGTCGTTAAGTGTTCGACAGCCCTCCTCAGACACCATGCACTGACAGGCTGAGCCCTCGTAGCCTGTGTGACAATCGCAACTTCCACACTTGCACTCGCCATTTCCTGGAAATTGTGGTGAATAAAGAGGAGAGTTAGAGCATGGACGTTAATGTTTGGAGGATCTCAAGGAGGAATCGACTGCATGATAGTTTGAGAAAATCAAGTTTTTCTGAACTGTGAACCATGCAAAGCTTCCATAGTGGACCAGGAGACAAGCAATAGAGGTGAATATGAGCATAAGAGATTCACTTCAAGGTTCCTTAACAAAATATTAGTCTACATCCTATTTGTGTTAAATTCATGTTCATGGCATTATGGTGAAATGTCACAATGCAATGGCTTCCTGGATAAAGACCCATCAGAAGTAAAACTGGAAATGCAAACACAATACGTGATTTTCTGCCCAGTTTTCCAGTACCCACAAGTTTTGCATGGCACATGATCAGCCCTCGGTCGGCACTCATCAATCACTATGTGTTTACTCTTCCAAGACGCGACTAGAGAGGCTCGCCAATGTGTCGCAGACTCCGAGCAGATCTCCAACCTGCTTAAAATGTGGTCTGAATCTGTTACAGCCAACTCCAGCCAATCCAAGCACATGATGGGGTGAAGATAGTGAAGAGCAAGAAAAAGGTCAAAAGACAGGAACACTGAGGGCAGTAACAGACAAACTGACAAGGAATGAGGGGAACACACATAGACTGTACATAAAGATTGACAATGCCATTGTACGAAAATGAAGCTGAAATATCCAACATGCGGGTGCGGCTATCTTGTGGTATTTACAGAGGTGGTGAAAATATAATATACGATACAAAACAATAATAATGCCACGTCATAATGATTTCATTCCTATATAATGATGTCATTCCTACCATATGATCATGGATTATTTTTCAACAAGCTTTAGATCGTTTCTATAATCTTACAGGATGCATGGGTACCTTTAAAGATGCATGTCTGACCTAATTTTCTGACTTTTTTGACTTTATGATGTTATCATATTACATTATATGATGGGGAATCCTTTTCTGAATAATATGCTTTAGATGGACATATCTTTGAAAATGTATTTTTTTCATTTGTTGACCTTTGACAAATCAACTCCAAATCCTAATCATGTAATACTCTCCTTTACACACACACGCACATGCAAACACGCACACAGGCACACAGGCAAGAACAATACCCCTCTTCCAGTTAAGGTACTGGACAGGGTAAAGCTTAAAAATGCAGGGAAGGATAACTAAGTGAGTGAAACACTACCTCCGCACAGTTTGTTCTGGAACTTCTCACAGTGTTCATCATTACACTCGCAGAAGTCACCATGGTAACGCTTTCCACCCTCTGTGGTGTGGCACTGGCACCTGCCGCACACACAATCTCCACGACCCTCACACTCTGTTCCATTCTGCCTCTGACAGGATGACTCGTCTTTATTGCCAATGGAACAGTTGCAGAACTGACCAACAAAGCCATCATGGCAGCTGCAAACAACACAATGGAAAAGGCAGTTCAAATTAAAATCTAAGTGAAACATTTACCTAGACCCTCTACTCTCTGTTCACACTCTCAGAGGCATTTGTGAGTATGTTAAACATTGGGCAAATCATTTACACTCACAGCTCTGGTTGAATAGGGAAGTCCTGTTGCTACAATAATAACAGATAATTAGGCAGTTCACTTCCCAAGCAGTAGCTGGTAGCTTATTACAAATATATCATCTACAATAGTGATTCCATTTACTGCTATAGGGTTCTCCCATTTTCTGAGATGCTCTTACACTGATTGTACCTTACCTGCAGATACCACAGTGAACTCCTCCCTTCCTATTGCAGTGTATGTGGCTTGCCTCATTAGGGTCCTTACACTGACACTCACAGTTTGTAGATAAGCTCACTGTCAATGTGTCCTTAATGCCCAGTGGTCTGATAGTGAAAGACTTGTTCTCCATACACGATTGTGCTGTGACTGTGACTTCAAAAGCGATCTGGAGAAAGAGTAGAAGTATAGGTGATGAGTAAGACTGAGGTGTAAATACAATGAACACAAGAAATGTGTTGAGAAAAACACTCTTTTCTTCATCTTCTCTTGTATTGATGTCCAATGACACTCCTATTGCTATTATTGTCATTTGATAAGATCTTCTGTCACCAAGTGTTAAAGGTGGGAACTGTTGGGTTACTCATGCCCTTTCTGTGTAAAGTGACTTTACATCATAATATAATTATGTTCTGAGTTGGTGCTATACAAATACAAAAATCTGAATTCAATTATATTCCCAATATTTCATGAAGCTGAGGTTTAGCAGTCAGTTGAATAAGTTGATAAACGATGTAGGTCTGTGCATTTGATGGACACAGCATGTCCAACTAGAAGGAAACTCTGAGAAAAGACTCTGAACACAGTGATCAGTTAACATATCCCATCTGATCTGGGGATGCCTTTGCAATCGGCTCAGAAGAGCTGGGGCTGGGGAGAAGGGTGACTGTTAATCCTGCTGCCACCAAGACTTGGAGGAGCATGGCGAACGGACAGACTGCTTTTCAATAAGAATCACAATGTAAACATGAGGATATCCACTACAAAAATGTAACCCCAAACTGACAGAATAAGAACTTTGTGCACTTGGCATATTTCACCATGAAAAACAAGTTTATATGTATAAATAAAAGGAACTGACCTCTTCTCCCACACGCACATTGTCACAAACCCCATTGCTGTCCCCTGCTGGTCCTGGATTTTTGCATATAGGTTTGTAGACAACTCTTACATTGTCTGGGAGATTGTCATGGGTCACAGTCACTTTGGAGGACAACCGCTGTCATAAATTACACATTTAGGAAAATTATAAGATATTCACAAAAAAGCACAAACTCGGGAGATGAAATATACAAAAGGAGAATAGCTTAATTTCTCTATGAAACAACTTACATTGTAGGCACTTTCAATCAACTGAACCACATTGTTAGAATCTGATGACAGAACTCCCACCTCTGATTTTGGAATCATTTGAGAGAGTTGCTGGGAATACATAAAAAAATTTAAAAAGATAAGGTGAAATGAATAATCAGCCAGCGTAACGGTGTTATATTTGTTCTGTAGGTAAACAAAAAATGTAAAGTAAATTTGACCTACCTTGTACACATGCTCCATATTATTTGTCACTGCAAATATTGGTTGAATATTGTTTTTTTCCAACTGCATAGCTAATTGTCCTACAGAAGGGTAGTCCTGCACAAAGCAATCAGTGAAATCATGTAAAGCTAATATCCATGTTACAGCTCTTAAAAAAGGGCAATTGACCAAGATGCAACAGTTGTTTTTCAAGAAAATCTGTGGGGAATTATTGTGATGATGATGATTGAGAATAAGAATATTATTTTTATAATATTTTTTCATATTTTGCCCACAAACTATATTATAACATGGCACAGCATTTCTGTTAACTGTTGATTCCCTGTTTTCATACTTACCATCTCACTGCTCTTGGTGTAAAGTTTGTTCTCCATGTGGCATTGTTCATCATTGGGTTCCAGAATGCCTGCCAGTTTTCCATCACCAGCCATGTGGAATCCATCATCAGTGGTCAGTACAATCAGTCGAGTGCTGCTTTTCCTCCATCCAATTTTGTCCTAAACAGCATTATGTGACAGGGATCTAGTTAAAGCAGGTTAAAACAAGCATCTATCACATTGTATTTTTTAAACTTAAAGGTTCAGTGTGTAAGATTTAGGTGAAAAGGATCTATTGGCAGAAATTCTACATAGAATAATCCTCATGATGTTTTCACTAGTTCGTTTCATCTAAGTTCTATGAATTGTAGTTTTCTTTAGCCCAGAAAAGGTCCTTTATATTTAAATACTTTATATTTACATTGAAGAGAACCTCTCTACGGAGGCTGCCATGTTTTTTACATTAGTCCAGACTGAAAAAACTAAACACCTTTTGAGTTTTTATAACAACTGAAGCTACCACAGGTTCTTTTTCATGTTTGGAAGGAGAGGGTGAGGTGAGGGGTGTTCAGCTGCAACATGCAATTTCAACACTAGATATCACAAAATTCTACACACTGTACCTTTAAAAGACACTTTAAACCTCACTGACCTGCTATGCAAAAAGGTTTGAGAATAAAGATTCCTGTTTTGAGTGTGCTGTTGTGATTTTGATGGCAGTAGGAGATGAGTGAAGGGGACAGAACCCAGAGATCAGTGTTCAGTTTTAATGTTAGGGAAAGACTGTGGTTGTGGTTTGAAAAACAAATGACCCTCTTTACATTTCAAGTCAGCATTGACGTTTTCACAGACATCTGTCCATAACCTTGACCAAACTTTGACCTGTGCAAATGGAACCAAAGAGCCACAAAGGCTTGTTTCGTCTTTATGTTAACGAACAGGGCAGCACTAATGTCAACAAAACTTTATAATATATATAATTAGTTTGACAGTCACTGAACAAATGTTCCAGGAAACACAACTGCACTTCAAACAGAATTATAAAGTGACTGGTTGGGAGTTGCTTTCATTGGGCTGTACTTCATGTGTGTAAAAAAAAGGTCACTCATATAATGAAAAGTTCCTATGAGGACATGATGTGTTCTTACTTAATTATTATCTTTTCCATGTAAACTGATTATTTACACTTCTTGTCCATTTTCAATCTCCATGTTTCCTCTTTGTTTTGTTTAACACACGTAGGAGGCACCGCTCAAATGGCTGGACTACTTTTCATAAAGTGTGTTTGTTTACCTGCCAAGGTCAAAGAAACTCTTATAAACTGACCCTTATTGTTTCAATACATTGAAGCAATAAGGGTTCTTTGATTCACATTAACATGAATGTCTGCTATCACTCGCACCGCAAACAAACATACACATTTTTGATCAATGTGCCCCAGAGTACAACTGAGAGCGTCAACTCCAGAGGTAATTAAAACGTAACTCAACAAATAACCCTTGAAAATGGAACACATCATTTCCATATTAGAGCACTATCCATCAAACCAATTGTTGAGTCTTTATTTCTTTTGTTGGTTCAATGTTCCATACTTATTGTTGTCATTTGTGGTTTGTACCTTGTATAGATGTCACGATCGATTTAAGCTAATACCACCTACTAAAGGAGCCTGGCCTTTGTGAAATTTATGATATGAGGTATTTCTACTTGAGTGGGCACAAAAGAGGGTTTTCTAGATTTACTATTTTTTAATAAAACATACTCACTTATCTTGTGTTACTCACAGTATATACTCATTTCTTTGGTTAAGTCCTTACCCCACATACAGCAGCCTGCATCATGGCATCAAGACTCCCTTCAGGAGAGTCCAAGTTCCCAGAAATGAACTGCCTTGTCACTTCTCTTCTGAATTCATCCTCATGTGGTGTCATACTGAGCACATGTCTGTAGCCAAATGCTGCCTGACACTGTTGGTAGTCCTCATCACATGGCTTCTGCAGTTTGTCCTTGTTGGTGTTGGTGTAAGGGAGGACTGTCTTATCAACGAAGGCACCAAACCCTGTAGTTATAGAAATGTTTATTACTTACTAATTCCAAATTTTTGTTTTTGTGAAATAGCAAATATGTAGGAAACATTCAGATCAGTGAGGTGTGTTCAAATTTGACCTCCACATGTATAAAAAGCAACACTTTAGAATAAAGCCGCTAATCGTTTCATAATCTGCTACTTGAATTGGTGCAAAATGTCATCATGGCAGTTATTTAGGGTGATTTTCGACCACTCGGAGCGCTTTACACTACAAGCCACATTCACTCTTTTACATACAGTATTTTCTATCACATACAACTCACACACTAGCAGCACAACGGTCTGGGGGATCTAATAAGCGAACCACCGACCTTCTGGTTAGTGGCTACCCACTTTAACTCATCAGCCACAGCCACCCAAAATGATAATATCAAGATCCCTTTAACAACTGCACCATTGCTGAGGAACATCTGCAGAATTTAAAGAAGTTCAAAATGGGTATTTTTGATGCTAACATTGTGCCCCATCATTTATAGCTTAATGATAGTGAAGTGTTCGAAACCCTTGAGCAGATTTTCAATGTGTGTCAGCAGCCAACAACTACAAGAACCACATCACCAACACTCACAGTCTACAGTTGGCAACTTAACAAAGACAAATCAACTGTTCAACCTCTATGCACAGAATTACATACACAGGACAAACACAGAGCCAGTAAGAACACATATTGACAGGTTTCATGGACATCAAGCTTCACTTAGTTTCGCTCATCCTGTCAATAGAGCAACACTGTATTTGAGAATCACAATGCACCAACATCAAAATAAATCTAAATGTCAGAGGTATAATGAGGGATTAATGCTGTCTTCTCATGATAACACGAGTCCAAGCAACATCCAAAGTTCATTAAAGAAGCAACATCACTAGTTCAGTCACAGATTGCTGCCTTCTTAACATAAAATATTATCCGACAGTATGTCTCCTCGAATATGGAACAATTAGTAAAGCTTTTGAAATTGAAAAAAACTAGAGCTTGTCCCAATCAAGGTTACTGAAGGGCCAAGTTAAAGTTAAAGTACATTTTGGCAATGGAAGTAAAACATTTACAGCCAATGTGAAAAGGTTTACACTTTGCCTACAATTTAGCCACATAAGTAAATGCTCTGCAGCCTTTTTCAAAAATATATTGTACTGTATCCAAGAAATGTACATCACACCCAACATGCAGCTAACATTAATGAAGCTGCCACACAAACTTAGAAAAAAGATGACATAAGGTTTGTATATAAGATCCAATAGAATAACAGATTCTAGCTCGTCTGTCTGGTGCCACCCAGCTGTTCTAATTTTACAATGAAATGTATGGAGGATAATTGTACATGCCTGTTATTAATATAGTGCTTCTCTAGTCTTGATGACCACTCAAAGTGCTTTAAAGTTTTGCTGTTCACCCATTCACACACACATACAGTGCATCCATGTGCAGCACTTTCTCTCCTACACATCACTCATACACAGCAGTGCCGCCAGGTGCAATTTGTGGTTCAGTATCTTCAGCATTCTGGTAAGAGGATGACTCACACTAAACCATACTGCTGTCACCGGTCTTTATATATATAAAGTTATGTATAATTACATTCTAGCTTGTGGCTGTATTCTAAAGCAGAACAAAATAACTAATATAAGGATTCTGTTCATTCATATTGTTAGATTCGGATTACCTCATACCTATTTGAGCATGTGCAGTGATATTTTTCAGAGCTGCAAAAAGATTTTGTCCCAGTCCTTTGACATTTTCCAAGTCATCTTTCATGGAGTAAGACAGGTCCATCAGGTAGTAGAGATCGACTGGATAACCCTGAACTCTCTTAAAAGAAACATTGAACGTGGCAGGAAGCCCTGTTAACACAAGAGAAAGAAGACTTGAATCAAATCAGTGGGGATGAGCTTATCGTGAAAAATATGGAAACATTTTAAAATTTCAGCTGCAACATGTAACTTCACCACTAGATGGCACTACATTCAACACACTGCACCTTTAATTAAATGTCTGCATTAACTGATTCCACTTACCAGGTCGTAGCTTCAGACTAATCTTCTGTGGGCTGAGCTGAACAGCAGCCAGCTCTTTGAACGAAGTGGTCAGAGGATCTTTTTTGTTGATGAGGACACTGTGCTGGGGGGAGATGATTTCCTCCTTCATACAGCCTTTTGCTATCAACTGCGCTTGGGTGTCACAGCGTGCTGCTTCCTGCTCGCCAGCTTTGGTGAAGTTCTTTACAAAGAGAAGTCAAAAAGACACCACAAGAGACAGCAAGATAGCATTGTTAGTACTGCCTCAGGTTACCTGCATGAGGTTTAAGTGTTAAAGGTTCAGAATGTAAGATTTAGGTGAAAGGCATTTTTGGCAGAAATCGAAT